ATGGAATGTTCTTCCCATCTCCATGCCTGATTGTTCGTTTTATTTAAGTTTAAAATTCAGAGCAATATTCTTTGCATTCAGAGTTTACAAGAAATAAAAGTAAATATGCAGTTGTTGGTTTGTTTTCAATCGATTTAAGTAGTTTAAATCGAATCATTAGATCAGAGGTGATTCAATGTATTTGGAAATTAGACTAAAAGGATAAGGGATATCATTAATAGAGAGACTAGAATGTTCTGAAAAAAAATAATAAAAACAAAAAAGTAATGGTAATAAAATCTGTGATAATTGGGCTTAGCAGTTAAGGGATATTGGCAAGTTAGGAAAAGTTAGAATAAAAATAGATAAGTAAAAATAAAAATAGGTAAAATTTACTTTTGTGTTGGCTTTTTATTGTGATATGCTTTCTTTATCATTTTTTTGTTTAAATAATTGTTCATTTTCATGCTTTTTTATCAATATCCCATATGAGCCTCACCTATTGGATTCGGGAGAGAGGTGCCTAACCCCTTCTCTCTCCCATCCTAAGTCTTACTTGGACTAGTATAGTCAGGAGACCAAATCAGCCCCCCACAACGTCTCACAGCACATCCCATGGTTTGTTTCTTGTAAACATCTTTTGATGATGACAGATGTTCCCAATACATAGTGGGGATGTGCTGCGGGATATTGTGGGGGGTTGATTTGAACTCGTGTGGTCAGTGCCTCGGGCTTTGAAGTTACTATAAATGAAAAATGATTTTCGTTGTTACTCTTTAAGGTCCCATCACCTTCTCACCTCCTTTTCCATGGTGACTCCATTTTCAGCCTGAGTGAACAGTTTTCCGACAGACACACCAAGTCAAATTTAATCTCCCATTAACACCTCCATCGTCGAAAGTCATCTCTTAGATTCTTCTAATTTCCAACGTTCACCCTTTTCTAAATCAATTCAAATAGCAATTAACAAAACATATTATAAGCAATGGCCCTTCTACATCAAAATGGAATATTTCGCCTTCTAAAGTTTCTTGTTGAGTAATATAATACAATTTTGGATGTGTATAATCTGATCATAATATTTCTGTCCACTGCCCAAGCTAGACAATGGACCTTGCTTTTGGTAAATTCATGAGCTTTGGGTTACTAGTTCATTAAACATCCATCTAAGATGGAGCCTTGCTGTCTCCAATGGTTGAGGGAGGAGAAGAGAAGAGAGGGGACGCAAGGGTTGTTCCGGTGGCGGTGAGGGTTGCAGAGTTGTTTTTGATGGCGGTAAGATTCGGGTTGTGTGTCAGTGCTGAAGTGATGGGGCCCGAGAGGGAGAAGAGAAATAGAGAAAAGAATAAAGGGTAAATTGCATGGGCCCTCCTGTATTATGGGTCTATGACAAAGACCCACCCCTCATCAGCATTCCATCAGTTAGTTAACTTCGAAAAGATTCGCATCTGACTGTTTAAAGTTTTCTAAATATCCAAACTATCCTTTTCTAATTTATTTTACCTTTTCTTTAATATATGAAATCAACTTATTTTGTAATGTTCATACTTTTACTTGCTTTGGGAACAAAATGACAATAACGGTTGACTCAGTTGAGGAACAAGGATATAAGAGAGAGAGAGAGAGAGCATAAAGCATACCTTCCCTATCTTCATGGCCATGGTGATGTAAGTAAGTTACAAAATCCAATCTACATTCAGAAAATAATTTAAAGTACTTCAAATCGGAGAAGAGAACTCTTGTATGAGTTGATCATAATAAAGCAAGTATAGGCATCAATTGAAAATGGAGAAACTGAACCCACCTTAGTATGGAACTCTAACAGTACAACTATATATAAAATAATACAAAATATAAGGATTAGCACTCTATATATTTGTATTTGTATCCCTTCCAAACAGAGCCTAAGCATTTGGATAGGACCGATTGCAAAAGCAATCCCACCATTGTTGCCCAGCGCCAGCAGAGCGTGGACGTGATCACATATTCCTTCTCATGAGGGAACTTCTACTCCACTGTAACATAATTAAATCACAAACAGAAACAATAAGAAACACATTCATAAGTTGATTCTAAAGCAATCAGGAAGTAGTTAACTTACTAAATAGAATGGAAATGCGAGCATGGGAAAAGGCACCATGAAATGCAGCGTTTGGGTAATGTCCAAACCCTTGTAAATCTTCTCCGGAAACTGCAAAGGAGGGGATAATCAAATATAAATAAGGAATTAACAGAGAAAATAAAAGCAGAGGAGAATTTAAAGAAAGAAAGAAAGAAAGAAAACAAGAACAGACAATAGGCCAGTACAGAAAATTAACTGACGGGATGCCATGACTCGTCATTCTCAACATACCTGTGGTTTTGATGGTGAGTCTTGTGGCTAATTCTCCTACACTGTCATCGCAACACAATTCGTTAAAAGTTGAAACCCAGAATTTCTAGAATTAATATTTAAGTTCATGAGATCTCTCAGAGAAGAAATAGAGCTATCAGAATTGGGAATGGCAGCTCGGGTGACAGCCAATCAAAACGGAAGAGTGGCTCCAAGATCAAATTCATCAACTTCATCAACTCCATTAACGTCATTAATCTTCCCCTCTCCTCTGTCCTCGTCAACAAACACGACCCGACCCTCACAGCAGCGCTCATCTTGAGTGTCCAATCTTGGTGTCTAGACGCGCTCAAGACTTAGATCGGAGAAAAACTAAGGCTTCGTTTGGCTTATGAGAATAGGGGTCTGAAATCAGAATTGCAATCCAACTATGTGGTTGGATGGAATGGCATTCCCCCATTTTCCTGCCCCTAACATCTGTTCCACTAAAACCACCTCCTTATCTGTTCCATTAAAACCACCTCCTTTCGACTAATGAATCTAATCTTGTGGGGGTTGTTGGAAAAAACGCTGGTTCTTGATCGAGGAAATAGGTGATGGAGGAGTCTTAGACCGCATTCTGATAAAACCCAACTCGCCGGAAAATCCATTGTTGTAAAGCTGAATATATTGCAATTTACAAGTGCTGCTGGAACTTCTCTGCTGAGATAATTCGAGAAAAGCGACACTCCTGGCAAGTGGCAACACACCACCAACGATTTTTTTCCTTTCCAGAGATTTTTTTCACTTTTTGGCAATGATCACAGGTGAAAAAGTCAATTTCTCATCAAATAGTTTCAGAATTTTTTTTTTTCTTTTCCGCCAAACATGGTATTTATGGATCAAGAATGGCAAGAAAAAGAAAATAGAGAAGATTTAGTGAGGTATTTTGGTAATATTGAGGGGTCTTTGTCTTACGATGAAAGTTTAGGGGTCTTTGTTACAAAAAAAAAGTACAAGAGGTCTTTTGTCACTGATCCCATGATAGGTATAATTTACCAAAGAATTAAAAGAGAGAATTGGAAGCAAGTTAATTAATTGTTTTTGATAAATATTTGGAGCACAAAGTGCTAACAGTTTGGAGGGCTTAATAAAAATATATATTATATATTTTATTTAATAAAAAATACATAGACAATATTTTTTTTGTGTTCCTTTTCTCTTTTTTTTTTTTAAGTAGTAATGAGATCTTTTATTATTTATTAGGTTTTGAGGGCTTTTAATATAAATAAAACATTTTTTTATTAATAAAAAAAAAGAAAAAACTATTTTTGAACTTCTTGTTAAGCTCGGTTTTGGGCTTGAGCTTCAAGCTTTATATGAAGGTTGGGCTCAGGCTTAAGACCTAGGCCCAATGGTTGGGTTGGGCTCGAGCTCAGGCCTGAATGCATTCTATTGGTACAAAGACAAAGCCTGACCAAGCCCGTGAATAGGTCTAATGATATCGGTTCAAATTTGGATACAATTAGGGATGCAAGTAGATCGGATCGGATTCTAATTAGGTATATTTGAATCCGGTCTGAAGATCCAATCAAATCTGATAGGATTCGATTTGAATTCAAATCCTATCGATAAGTTGGATCTTGGATCTGATCCAATTTGACTTGTTTTCTTTGAAAATCAATAACTTATTAAAAGAAAATTAAAATATACTAATTTAAATAAAGTAAAAGCAAAAAAATACAAGTATTTTTTAATTATTTTTATCATATATATACATGTTTTTTTGTAAAAAAATAAAAAAAAATAAATAACACATATATTATAAATATATAATATATATCCCATCATCAGAAAGGAGTGATCCGAATCCATTTCAATTCGAAGATCCGAACAAGGATAATCCGAATTTGACCAAATAATGATCCGACCCATTTGCACCCGTAGATACAGTGACAGTCTTTCCCACTCGAAGACTAGTACACGTTCTAACTTCTAAGGCCGAAGTGACACTACATGGGCTAAATGGGTTTCTGGGTAGGAAAGTGATTGGGCTGCATCGGTCCAGTGCTGTTACTCAAATCTCAACCGATCATTCCTAACGGGAAGACCCAATACATTTTGGGCCGTGTATCTTCTTCGAATTTATCTCCGAATATCAACGGTTCAAATATGGATATAGTGATGGTGCATAGCACCGAATACCAAGAAAATATGGATATAGTGATTAGGTGCATTCGATTGCGTATCTTTTGTGTCGAGAGATCTTATAATCTGCATGCTCATTGTCTACTCTCTCGCCGTTGGATTAGAATCAACGCCCCCGTCTCGTACGGTCAGCGCGCTTTTTCGTCGCAAGTCGCAAGTCGCAACTGTAAACGGCTAAAAAAGATTTGACACTGCGGATTCAGTGCATTTGGATTCGAAGGGATTTTCTCTTCGAGTCCAAAAATAAAACTCAAGCATTAAGTTCAACCTTCCGGCTTCAGTCTCAACTCTCTTTTGAAATCTGAACTCTCTTCGCAGTAGCCGTGGTTTTCTGAGGGAAATGGAGTAGAAAACCTCCCTTGAAAATGGCGTTTAAACATTGAAGGGCTAACAACGAGAAACAGGCAAGCAGCTTTGTTTATTGACACCCTATTCTTCATATATTAGTGGTTCTTTTTCCCATAGAATCTTACATTGGCTCATGTTGAAATTTGATAGGCAAGTGATGTCCTTGCTGTGGAGCTCTTACAGAAAGATGCCCAGCTTGCCATTAGCTAGGAGCTTGGAGGACCATCCCCTGGGGAACGCAAGACTCTGCCCCCATTACCCAAATTTGTTACTGATGAATGGTCTTTTTCCTATAGAAACTTACATTGCTTAGCTTTCTGTTTACTTCGAATGGTCGGGACAGAAAGTGGTTCATTTTACTTCTTTGGATTTCATCAGATAATTTAGATACTTAATAGAGTTGGTTCTAAGTTGAACTTGCAAATTTGGCCTTTCAGATTTTTTTAGTTAACTTATTTGTTTATATTGGAAGCGTGGGATGGTTGGTGTTTTTTTTTAATACATTAATTACCTTCTAATTCATTTGACAGCTGGATTATGTTAGAATACTTGATTGAGTGGGTTGAATTTTTTCCTAATATTTTGTTTACTTCTTAGTGGCATTTTTTGTTTGAATTAGTTCCTATATACTCCATTTCCAGAACTATGTTTTTTTTTCTTTTTTTGGCTTCAATGGTTGGGACTAGGGACTAGGGACTCGGGAGAGTAAGTTGTGAAAGGAAGCTTTCTGTACCTTAACAGCTTTTCTCCTATGTAGAAGTGGAAGCAGAAGAATGGTTGAACGTGGCAGAAGATTTTGGTAGGCCTTAGTTTGATAATAATTTGATGTTTGATACTTATAAAGAGGAAGGAAATGAAGTAGAAGATGAGGTTCACCAAATTGCTAAATCACTTCTTTTGCATGAAAGACTTTGAAGAGATTAGAAGAACATGACATAAGGAGAGGAGGGAGATGGAGAATGTGCTAGGACTCTCCAATAATAACAATATAGGGGAGGATGGCGAATTCAGTATGGAGGTGTGTAACATCCTAGCATGGGATGTGGTGAAGCATAGCATTGAAATGTGTGATGTCATGCAAAAGAATATAAAGATGGACCAATGGTGTTAGTATCATGAAGTCTGGTAGTGCCTATAGGAAAGAAAAGGAGCTTTAGATGTGGTAGAGCCTAGTGCAGAAAGGAGTAAGCATTGAAGTGTTATAGGGGATCAGCTCTGCATGCAGATGATTCTTTTTGCGCTTGCTTGGTGAGCAAACAAGTCTCAAGTGTTTTGGGTTTTAAATAAAGTTAGGGCTTGGTTGTCTTATTTTTGGTTGTTTTGGGTTGGTTGAGTGCTTTTTCTCTTTGTTTCTTAGGTAGGGTGGATGGGATTTGGCTTGTTTTAGTTTATGGTTGGTTTGCTCTGTTTCTTTGAGGTTGATGATTACTCATCAACTCTTGTACCTTGTTCTATTTCTTCAATAAATTTTATTTTTTATTTATTTTCAAAAAATGCCTACTTGAGAAAGAGGGAGTGGTAAAAGAATATTTTAAGAAGGTTTTTCAAATAGAAAAAGTGGAAGACAAAGAAGGTTTTATTTATCTAATTGTGGGCTGTGTTTGATTTGGTTGATCTCTAGTACTAGTTGAACTTTGTATGTTGATTCATTCAAGGGGGTTTATTGGGCGATGCTGGTTGTTGTTATAGAACGTAAAACTGTCATTTTATTATAGGTATATGGATATTGTCTTCTGCTTTAGGAGCCATTTGGTTTGCGTTGTATACTAATTGTATATAGTTTTTTCCTTTTAAAGAACAATGCCTTTACATTATATATGAAGTTTGTTGCATCTGAATTATGCATTAGATTACCCTATTTGGTATAAGGCCTATGGGATGTTGCCATGTGGAAAACTTTTGTGTTGATTCGAGTTTATCCAAATGACTCAACTAGAAAAACCTATGCCCTTTGTCAAAACATTGAATTTTAGTTCTTTACTCATTAGCAAGATAATTGAGGACTTATTATTAATGATGTGCGGAAAAGGTACACGATCTAGACCTCCTTCCATTTTGTAAAAGAGGAAAATATCTGGTATTGCTAACAATAACATTTCACAAAACATCTAATCCTCAACAATGGTTTCTCATTGTCTTCAGCATAGACTACCTTTTAGGAGTCTACTGAACCCATATGGGCAATCTGTTCCTCCTAAATTTCAATGATCTCACTTTCCTGATATGATGCTGAAGCTACCAAGGTCCATCTTTGTGTGATTGCATCCATCCAATGACCACTTGAGCCCCCACATTAGTGAATTCTCTATTTTGAAGGATAAATCCACTCTCAAGCCCTGTAGGTTCAAAAATGATCTCTGTTAGTGCAAGATGGGTCCAGAATAAATGCCAAGAAGATGCTCTTTTTGATCTCTGAAGGCCCCTCTAGCACTTGAGAGGCCTGAATTGCCTCTAGGAGTTGTGACCAATATTTATTGCCATGCCTTCTTTGCATGGTAAAACTAGTTATGGTCTTCTGCCCTCCAAGAATAGTGTTTATAATCCTCCTCTTCATGATCCAATGTGCTACCCTGATTGGTACCAAATCAATGATGGATCTGACTTTAAGCTTCTTGTCATGAAACTTTCAAATCTTTCTCCTCATATGCCCCAAAAAATAGCAGCTCATATGCACCTTCACGTTATCTCTGATGTTATTGTCCATTGGTGAATATATCAGATCCCTTTATATCAAGGACCAGTTCAATACTTTGCAGTTTGCAAGAGACAATATAAAGAGGAAGGGTGAGATCCGAAGGTACACATGTTTGAATGCTTTCCTGAGATATCTTGGGCTAATAGAACTGAACATTTGTTTTCTTGTATTCTGATCTTGGGCTATCAGAATTGACTTTTCCTCTTTTGATCCTCCAAAGTGTAATAAACTTAGTTAAACCAATGGTTTCAATTTAGATAACACTTGAAATCATCATATACTTGCCTTTATGATTCCATGGTGCTCATACCTTGACTTGAGATATTGAATTTTGTGCATTGGACTAACATACTTCTTTTGTACCCATCAACTTGTACGAATGATTGCAACTACTTAATCCAGCATGTGTCAACAAACATATGGGAAATACTTTGGATTAACAGAGACCCTTAGTTATAGATGCAAGTCAGTATTTTTAAAAGTGCAAGGCGCAAAAAAGGAGTAGGGGCCAATTTGCATCCGAGCCCGAGGCACGTGCCTTTTTGAATTGCAAGGCACAAAAATAAAAATAAAAAAGTCAGAAAATTCAAAAAAAATGCAAAAAAAATCAAAAAAATATTAAACATAATATTAATAAAAAATATAAACTTAAATTCTAAAATAAATGTTTTAAAAAACCTATTATCTAAAATTAAAATACATAAACATAACATGTAAAGCATATTCAAATGAAAATTTAAAAGTAAAATCAAACATATAAAACATTTTCAAGCTTGTAAAACCCACAATCTCTTTTTTTTTTCCTCAATTGCATTACTCGAAGTAGCAAATGTGATGTAAAACATATTATATTCCTGATTCTACAAGCCACCTTTGTGCCATGCCCCTCAAGTCCATTAGCATGTGCCTTGCCTGTGTGCCTAGGCATGCCTTTCAAATCACTGATGCAAGTTACCTTGTGGGCCTGTCTGAACCTCTTTTTCTTGAGTCCCAAAATCATCCAATGTGGTACAAATGATCCTTCTGGTGAAGGGCATGAGGAGGTGATATAGGCCTATCAGGCCCAATTTTATTGTGTCCACTTCAGCGGGACCAATAGACCTATTTATTCCAGCAAGGAGGTGGCCCGATTTTAATGTAGGGGCTTGGTGGTGCCTAGTTAGATTCACCTCCCAAGACAAAAAAAAAATGATTATTAAGCACCTAGGGAATGACTAATCAATTGGAATAAATGTGCTAACTGTTAAGAGTTAATGTAAAAAGGATGCTGTTACATAAATGTGCTACTAAGACTAAAATATTTGCAATGAAACATAACCATGAATATGCAAATCTGACACTACAAATAAGAAGCATTGTTTGGTCTGCACCACTTGAAACCCAAAATGCCAAAACAGAAAGCAAAGTAACACTGAAATGGTTTTAATGGCTTAAAACAAGACATATGCATAATGTAAACACCTTAATTGAAAGTCAAATATCTTTAAAGGCTGACTTTTGTACTTGACCAACTCCTTATTTGCTAATTCTCGCTCCTCTTGTTGTTCACAGTTTTTGATTATTTGAGGGCAGAAAGGAAAATTTAGACCAAATAGACTTATCCACTCTAAAGCTATCCTCAACAGTTACTGTAAAAAAAAAAATACTATTGTGCTTATATATAACTAATTATCTAGACTCCCTTGTTTCCTTCAATTACCTATCACTGTAATTATGGTTTTTCTTGATGCTTTTATTTTCATTGTCTAGGAATTTGTTTATGACGAAATTAGCTTTGGAGTTTTCACTTTTCAGTATGCTGATTAAGTTGAAGAATTTTATTGAAAAATAGGATAGACTGGTAGTGAGATCTTCTGCCTGGAACTGTACATAAAGTATTTTCCATAATATGGAGTTGGAAACTTGGACCTCATCAGTGAATTTGCTATTTACTTGTTGATTTTTTTTTCCAGGTTGCTCCAGATGTTGAAGAAGTATTGGACACCTTCTGTGTTGCAGCTGAACTAGGAAGTGATTGTCTTGGAGCATATGTGAATTCCATGGCCTCATGGCCTCTAATGTATGTGTTAACCATTGATGCTAAATTTTTGGTTTCGTGGCTGTAAGAAAACTAATATCTACATGTAACAGCAAGGTTTTCCTTTTTATTTGGCCCCGTTTGGTGCGTCTTTTCACGTGGGCTGTCAGCTTTTTAGAAACCCAGCAGTCTGCATTTTGGTCTTTTCCCGTTTGGTTGGGAAAAGATTTAGCCGTCGAAATCCCAGCCCTGAAAAAGACACGGAAAGCCCATTTCAGACTATTTTCGGGAAGCTCCAAATGGAGCTTTTCGCCTTTTTTCAACTCATCTTCGCACAAAAAGACACAGAGACATAATCAAATGGTTTTCAAACTATTAAGATCTTGATGCAAAAGCTCACATCGTCTTTTGACTGTCAGAGCTTCCAGGAAATCTTTCAAAAAAGTCTTACCAAACAGATTGCAGTCTTGCTATTTCCTAGGTAGACATGTTAGTGGGTTGGATTAAGTGGTAAACCTACACTGACCCGAATATAGGGTTGGATAAGTCTTAATCAGGTTTCATGTTGTAAATTCATGTTGGGCCCGACCTATATATAGGCTTGTTTGAGTATAGATGTACTATATATGGGATGGGTTGGGTGGGGATCGATACTCTCTCTCTCTCTCTCTTTCTCTCTCTCTCTCTCCATTTAGTTGGATCAGGTTGGGTTTGAGTTAATGTGACTTTGGTCAGGTTCGGCTTGAGAACCTGTGTCGAACTTGACCTGTTGGCACCCTATTCTTTGTATATTAGTGGTTCTTTTTTACATTTACTCTTTTTCCTATAGAAACTTACATTGGCTCATGTTGAAATTTTATAGGTAAGTGATGTCCTTGCTGTGGAGTCCTTATAGAAAGATGCCCAGCTTGCCCTTAGTTAGGAGCTTGGAAGACCATCCCTAGGGAACATAAGATTCTGCCCCCATTACCCAATCAGGTATTGAAGTTCCTCATCGAAGGATTAAATAATTCAAAGGTCCTAGATTTCCTCATTTTAAATCATGCGTCAAATGCCCTTCTTTCTCTGTCGTATGCCATTTGTCTTCTGATGTAATTTATCAATTAAGAAGGTGAAAAAAGGATGTATCAGTTCCATTATGTGCTCTTTATGTTTGGCTTTCTTAGGTAAGTGCAGGTATAAGTGTTGATTCAGCCAGGCAAAACTAAGCGGCCACCTTTGTTAATGCTTTTGTGGATGTTTATCTTGGACAGGTAATTATCAACTTATGTGGTGATGTTTTTTTTTTTTTCAATTTTGTTTTCCACATGCTTAATGGATTTTTCTTTTCTTTTCATTGTGTAGGATAAGTGGATGACTATTCCTTCTGAAGCTTCAAGTGGTGGTTCGACTGGAAGTTGACCATTCAAGATAGGGCTGTCAACAAGTACGGTCTGGTTTGGGTCTCGGTAGAACCAGTCCTGAACCGATTATTAATAAGACAAAGTCATAGCCCTAGAACCATCCTTGTTAACTTAATTAAGTTTACATAATGCCTTATGTTAATAACCAAACGGATTATACTGAAAACTATATGTTTTTTTATTTAAATAGCAACTTAAAATTTAAATCTTGATAATATAACTTTAACAAAATTGATAGAAAAAATATGAAATTATTTATATCCTAAAAAGTTAAACACTTTTAACTAATATTATCTATCGAATTTGCCATTTTAAACATATAATATGTTAAAAATTATAATAAAATTAAGAAAATATTATATATAATTAATAAAATAGTCGGTTTTAGGTCTGAATGGACAGGTGAGAACAGGAACTGGCCCAATTATTAATTCGGACATAATCGTAGAACCAGAACTGTTATAATCAGTTCGGTTTGTACAGGTCTGTCGGGTAGACCCAACCCATTGACAGCCCTAATTCAAGAATAAGGAACATGGTAATTCTTCTACAAGGAAACATAGGTATATGTTTTGTGGTGTTAGCATGCAATTGAATTGTGAAATATTACAGAGAGAAGAAAAACGACCCATAGCCATGTCTACATGTTAAGACCTATATTGATAATGATTCCATTAGAGAGAGTGAAAAGGAACAACCTACTGCACCAAAAACAAAAAGCACAATCAATTACCTAACCTCAAGAGAGGCAAACCGCAAACCTAAAATGATAATAGGATAGATACATACAAAGTGCTCGTTCTCCACTTCACGGGAATGGGATATACTTGCAAAGCTAGTTCCTCCCAATCCTACTAGAGGGCTTTCATTTGGATGACTGCCAAGTGATTCATCACACTTTCAATTAATTGTAGGACAAAACAGGCTTCAATCCTCAAGTTAAATCCATTCCAAAAGAAAAGGGATAATATATTGTTTCAACTTGTATAACAATCTTCTTTCATGTCATTGCAATTTTATATAGTGTGCTTCAAAATTCTCAATAATAGGCCTTCGCAGACAGGGGAGTTCCAATGGGACATTCATGCATCCAGAGAATGGTTTTACTTTTAAGGATCCATTTCTTACTTGGATACAGAAAAGTTAGTGATGGAATTACTTCAACAGTCACCTGCTAAGGGAATTGATGAGCACCTTTTTGAGTTCTCTGAGAAGCAAGATTTTTAGATGAACACATTATTATTATTATTATTATTGTTATTTGTATTTTATTAACATTATTTTGTATTCTTAGATGTAACAAATCTGACATCTACCTTAATGCTTTTAAATTCATTTTTAACTGTTGGAAGCATAAATATGAATTAGAGAGGACAAGGAATCTTAGTAAGGAACTAAGAGGTTTGTTCTTTTGAAAATACATGCATACATTAGTTAGAAATTTTCCTTCATATGAACCTGCAAATTTCAAGTAGTTTTTATCTTCTTTGTAAGGCTGAAAATAAGCAAATAATATCATTGTGGGTAACTTTTCACTTCCTAATTTTATATATTTCATTGTGGGTAACTTTAGCTTTAGGAACTACCTGGTGTCCCCGGCACACCCACCTGAAGTCAACAATGTGGGTGGGTTCCGTTTCCAGATCTCCTTCCTCTATGAATTTGGGGAGTGTGGATTCCACTTTGTTGTGAGGGTCTATGGCTTTCTTAAAGAGGGAAATATGGAATATCAAACGAAGTTTGGTGTTGGGTGAGAGCTCTAACCGGTAGGGCTGGGGTGTTCCATGCAATTTGGCTACATCTTTTACAAAAGCTTCTGCCACCATGGCTGTTGTCTGTTGTGTAAGGGTGTGGTAGGGCTGAGAAATGCCCATACTTGGCCAACCGATCAACCACTACCAAAATTACAATTTTACTAGCTGATCGGGGCAATCCCATTATTAAGTCCATACCCATTCGGGGATCCGCAACGGCTTCAAGAGTCCAATGGGTAATTGGGTCTCATATTTCTGTTGTTGGTAGTTTGGCACACCCCGCACTCTGCAATGTGTTGTTGTACATTCCGTCACATCCCTGGCCATAAGTAGTGGCTTCCCAGCTGCTCGAGATTTCTTACGATGCTTGACTGACCCCCCAAGTCAGGAGTTGATGAGGGGTAATCTGGTCCTCTAAATCACTTCGTGACACGTGGCCTTCAAGTAACACCTTGGCGCTGACTAGATGAACCGGTTCGACAAGTTAGCCTCAAGTACCTTATCCAGGCCGAATTGATAGGTTTTCTAACTCACAACAACTTGCCTCAGAGCCTAGTTGAATTATAGGAATTTATGGTGACATGCAAGCGAACGAGCTGACTTGTCTCGAAGAGACATTATCAGCCTGAGATCTTCGAAACATTAATACCTCGACCGTTGGACCGGCCTACCACACCACGGGCCCCAAAGTTCTTCGGACAGATCGTAACCCCGCGTAGTACACATACCTGACACAATAACACACCAGACCAAGCAGAAACAGCTCCACGAGAAGATGAGACCCGTTGTAAGGGGACCCAAACCACTAACACCCATATAAGGCACTCATTTCTACTTGTGAAGGCACACACGATTACAAGCTCTCAAGCTCTTTCATTCCCTAAAATCTCTCAAAACACTCTCTGACTTAAGCATCGAAGTGCCCACCCCCGTAAAGACAACTCGAACACTCTAACTCTTCATCTTGCAGAACAAGACCAGCTCGGCCTAGCACAACTCAGCCTGACAAGGTACTATCCGCATTAGAGTCTGAGTCATCTGATACGCAAGAGGAGCCAAATCGCGCAGTATCAATTGGTGCCGTCTGTGAGAAATCCTGATACAAAAAGCTAATTACTCACCCTTCATTTTTCGAAACTAAAAACTAATGGCTTCATCAAGCAACCAACCCACCAACAACAATCAAGTACCTACTGTAACCATCGGGCAGATAGATGTCCCTCTGGACCCGACCTTTGCGCCAGATAATGTGAACGGGTGTTCTCCTGTGAACAAGCCCGTAGTGGCTCCCATTGGAGTTTATGCGCCCAAGTTCTACGACCTGGTGCAGTGTGTATGAGGTATGAGCAACCAACTCATATTCTAGGAAAGCAAGTTTGCCTCCATGGTGGGG